TCAGCTCATATTCTATGCCTATTTAGAAACACTGATATGCAACGTACGAAACATGCAAATGTAACATATTTGTAGTTTGCAGAAATGTACAATGTTACCATTTTCTTCTGGCGACTGGGCTGTATGTTTCAAATTCCATTTAGTGGGAGTGTTAGGGTTATTATTTGTACACTGCCTTCATTTCTGTACAGCCACCTAGCCTCTTTGGGTAAACCATGAACCACCATTGTGTTGCAGGAATCAAAAAAGAATGTTGTCCCTCTCTGAAACAACAAAACAATCACTGCCTTTAATTTGCTCAGCCTTGTTCAAACAGATTCCATAGATTTCAAAGGAGTCCCTTAGTGTCACAGAGCTGTAAAGCCTGCTCCCTAATCAGTCGCCACATCTAAGTCCAGACAACCATTTGGGCAGAGCCACATGAGGTGCAGGAAAGCTCACCAGATTAGCTCTTGTTAATGACCTTCTGTGGTATAGGACTGACACCCTCACTTAACCAGCCAGGTTAAGTCACCTATGGAGATTTGTTCTAATATTCTGAAATAGTTAATCACATACAGAGTGAGACAGACAGAGATAGATGGGCAGATGGATAGATCACAGATCAGTTACAGAACAAAAACAACAAATAAACCCACATAAAAATCACACCTCCTGATGCAGGCAGAAAAATTGTCTTTGATTATAACAAACGTAAAGGTACAAGATTCAACTGAAAAATATTATTATTGTAGAACAGAATAACACAAAATGAACTGCAACAATGCCACCACGGTATTTGTTTTCAGTCAGCCATGGCTATATACATTTAATTACGTAAAAAGTAATAAATAACTTTGTATTTTGAAAATGAAATTCTTTGTTTTGTGACATGGGCATTACTTAATCATTATTTATCTGCTCTTATGCTGTTGAAGTTGGCATACGACACTGTAGAGTCTAGCAGTTTTTACGACTACCCACAAAAAAAAGGGCAACATAACATCTAAAGGATTTATTTTATGGTGCTTGACAGCAAATGGCTCTCTTTACAATCTTGAATGTCAGAAAGGCAACATAACAACATTTGGTGCCTCCAGGTTATGTTGTGAAATGTAGCTGTAGCTTTGCTGGCACCACAGCTCGAGAAAAAAACCCCGTAACACAAAGCGCGACCCCCAATAAAGCCGAATAAATGACAGAAAAGCACAACTGAGCGGGATTTACCTTTCCTGTGGCATTTTCACACATCAGTGTGTTGATGAAGAGCTGCAGGGGACTGTGGTACAAGGTAACATTTGCTTAGACAACTTTCCCTTCTGTGACATGCTGCTAGAGTGATATAGAGCCAGCAGGTGGGAAACAGCGGTAAGATGAGGAAAGTGAAATAGGAAAAACAGAGAAGGGACGAATGTTAAGACAATACCTAATCTCTCTGACCACAAATCATCACTGAGCACTCATCACCAAACCAAAAGAAAATCAAGACTATAACTCTAACCACTTTGATCTATGAGTCCGATCATTACTCATCATGCCATTTGTCTCTGACTAGTTTTTAGATCTTACTTGCGCGGGCACTACATAATAATACCAGTGGACTGACTTCTGACGACACAAGGCTTATGTTTCGTTTTTTTTGTCTATCTTTTTGTCCATCTAACATTCACACAGTGATTTATGTTCTGAACAGTCACAGAAGACACGGATATGCTAAAGCGATGGCAGATGCATCAGTCCTTCCATAGGAGGGGTACATACATTACCTTTTTAGATCATTGGAGTTTAACATTTAAGGACTACAGGAGGAGTTCTGCCTAAAAGTGACAATCTTGTTTTTCCCTGGCCTTATATTATCTGCATTTTCACCTGAGTAATGTGATATTTTAAAAAGTACTGAAAAGTTAATTTATTTACTCTTGTCTGACTGCATTGGAGGCATATGATAATGTTGGAGTAGTCCTGATACAACAAACTATTTTTAGCCAACACGACAAGTTTATAAATCTTAAATTCTGCTTTATAGTATGGATTTCTACTTTACTGCAAGTTACTTTCTCAGATTATATGCACAAAGAAACGACTGTAACCAACACCTTGGTTTTAATATTGGACGGCCTGTTCAGAGACCGACCAACAAGGGACAGGTTTTTATATCGCTTAAGCACAGAACCAAATAACTTAAGACCACAACTTTTATCCTGTAACCGTATCACTGTAAAGACTCCGACAGGTGTTAAGACCGTGACTATGATTACATCAAAACTCAGACTGTGAACAAATAACAAGGTCCTTTTTATTCCATTAAAAAGGGATGTTTAAAGAGGATTCAAGAAAGTATGAAGAGTTAAGGTGTCAATGTGTTAAAAGATAAATATATAGAAAGCTTGTCCCTGCATGGAAACTAATGTTGGACTTTTTAAAGTGCAATGTAACTACTACAACTTACCAAATTGGTTTGGTTATTTATCAGTTTCATTTACTATAATCTTACTATTTGAATCTGTATTTCTATAATTATTACAACTTTCAGTTCATTTTGTTGTTGTCTGTTTGTTTGTTAGTTTTGTGGCATTGCCTTTTTCTACCAGCAACACCTGGTGCACCCTCAGTTGTCCGAGATGGGGGATCTCTCCTTAAGCAGCCTAGGCCACAGTTTCTCCCTTTTTTTATCACTAGGTTTTGTTAAAAAGTTTTGCTTAGAATGCTCGGGATGGGCTAGAAACCATTGTTAGGTGGGCCTAATAATATTGGGCAATAAACTTGACTTTAAAAAGTGAATAAATAAATTTAAAATTACAATTTAATGAACATTAGGATAATTAAATATTGTTTAATTTTTTTGCATGAAGCCTACCTGCATTTGTAATCCATGAATTTTGGAATTTGATATTTTCCAGTACTTGTTTAGCAGCTAACAAGGACTGGAAAATCTTGAAAACAAGAGGGGTCAAGGAATGGAGGGTGTCATATGCTGTAAAGATTGTAAAGCCCCTTGCGCCAAATGTGTGATCTGTGATACTGGACTATACAAATAAATTTGACTTGATTTATCTCAACTATACTGTAAGTCTTAAGTAAGCAATGTAAGGCTAATTAATTAAGTTCAGTATAGCTGATCAACTGCAGTATACGCTATAATAGTACAGAAACTACAGTGAAATAGAAACAGACAGTGTCTTCAATTACACAATATAAACATGTAACCTGTGACTTATAGCAGTTGTGTATTAACAGACCATTAAATAAAAATATTACTGATTGACTAACACAAAATCTTAGAAAACCCTGCAGGATGTCAGGTGGGGCAGCACATCCTTAATTAGTTGATGATCTAAAATAAGCAGCAGATGGAAAATCCATGTACGGATGGCTATAACCTATTGCTTAGCAAGTAATCTACTAACATGTTGCCACAACAACACATTCACACCAAGTACACACTCGCAATTTGCTTGAATTCATTATTACTCCTGGTTCCATGACAATTATCTGACAGATTAAGCTACTTTTTGCAGATTTCAGTATACGATAGTGACTATACCGCACAGTAAGTCTTAGCTGGTGACAATCTGATATTCTCTTTAAATCAAATCCTATAACTGTTTGCTAATGTGGACGGGAATACTAAACAATTAAAAAAAAAAAAAGAAAGAAACATTCAGTCCTCAGCTGCGACAAGTGTCTTAAAATCTCACCCGGTGCTGAAATACAGCTATATTGCGAGGTTGACAGACTAAATGTAGGACCTTGACATGATTTCACAGCAAAGGCGCTGTGACGTAAATCACTTCACCAGCTGTATTTTTGTTTAAAGACATTATGTCGTAATTACCTAATTAAACACACTTAAGAAATTGCCCAAATCTAAAAGTGTTATAGACAAGATGAGGTATGTTCAACATAAATGTGGTGGTTTTACGTATGCAGTAAATAGTGAAAAACCTATTTTGGATAATAAGAGTTGGAAATTAGCTTCTTAGTCCACCTGCTGCTGCGGCTGGTGGATTCCAAAGTCTATCAGTCACTCAGTAGATTACCATAGTTGTTTTTGGCTGGTGAGTGACTTCAATATTCTACAAGCATTTGGCTGGTGGCTGGTGCTAATTTTCCCCAACAGAAACTAATTTGTATTGATAACCACATTCACTAAAAATGTTGCCTGTGTTTAACTAAGCTTTACAGATTCAATTTTGTATATTGTTGTATTTTGAGAAAATAATATTTATTCCCCAGTGGTAAAGATGTCGATTTAGGACAGATAAAAAGCATTAAGTGGTTCAGTTAATTGTATTAAAAAATAAAATAAAATCCTAATGTGATTACTGTTAGAAAATATATGTGCTTGTGACATTTCTGTATTCGTACAGCTTTTAAAACACAGTCATGGTAATTATCTTTTATTCTCCTTGACGTACACAGTGAATGTAAGATAATATTCAACTTTGCAACTTGTCACAAATGATGACCAAGATTTGATTCGGTAGAAGATAAAGTTAAGAACATGATTTGTTTTACTAATAATTTCTAGCCAATTAACATTTAATGTTTACATAAAACCTAGCTACAATTTTCAGGTACTTCAAACAATGAACAAGTAGTGTATAGTTAGTGTATAGCACAAATTACTGCAAAATACTGTCTCTCGCCTTTATGGAAGAGCACTTACTAAACATCTGTACATTATGTACAACTTAAAATTAATTTTAACAACATAATAGTATAAAGGAGATGTCAACATACTTAGTTTTGAGAAGTACTCCAGATAATAGTTTTATTGACATATAATTCAGACCAGACACACAGCGGGAGATTTCATGCGGGCGGACATTCCAGCACATATATAATTCATCTTCGAGAAATACTTCCCACCAGCACAGCTACTTTACGCTGTATTCATGAATGCCACCATCCAAATCCTTGTGGAACGAATGAATTTTTCATACAGCCATGTGAGCACCAGGCATGTGCTTATACTGCATACACCTTCTGAGTTTGTGGCGGACATAACTTTCTCTTACCTCTGCAAGAGTTCACTCGTTGTTTCGGGGGGGTATCCACCACTTTGTCCTTTTCCCAGCATTTTTGTATGGCCTCTCTTGACACTCACAGTGCTACTTGTCCGATCCCCAGCGTGCTGCATGGCAAAACAAACTCCCTAGCACCACCTGCAGCTTTAACACCCTTAGCCTCCCCCCTCAAAAATAACTACCACTGTCCAAAGACAGCAAATCCTGATGAGTCAACCTTCTCTAGCCTGCTCTGTTTTTCCCTCCACTTAGTGCATGGACAGATGACAGAAAGGCCAGCAGGAAGGAAAAGACCGGCTGCTGAGCACTTCAGCAGGGGCTCTTCTACTCAGCTACTCCTGATTGACAGCAGCAAGGACAGCAAAGCGCTCTTTAGCCTCTTCTTTCCAACTCTTTTTCCCTACAAACTACGCAATGTGCGCTAAATGCCTTTTCTTCACTTCCCCTCTTCTCCCAAGTGTCAAAAAATGGGGAAATCAGATCAGAGCCTCCTCAAAGGGAAACAGGAGGTTGACTGGGTGAAGTTAAAGAGGGAATAACAGAAGAGGTGGGCTCAGGGGACGGCAGAAGGGGGGTGAGTCAAAAGGGACCAACTGGGAGTCCCTGCCCGGGGCAGCTCCACGCAGCACAACAACAGGGACAAGAAAGTCCCTCCTGCCACAACTGATTATCACCTCCACAGTGTCATACAAACACACATCCACAGACAGACACACCCTTGCATAGTCTGGGCAATGAAGGGATGCACTGGGGTTCTGGGAATGCAATCAGTCACTCAGTAGGTGTCGGGATCAATTTAGCTGCTGAATCATTGGAGGGGTCCGGTCTCCAGCCCCTGGAACAGCGTGTCAGATTATTCACATTTTGTTATGGTCTGGCAGTCTGAGGTTTCCCATCTGTGAGCCAAAAGGTGGGGCATGTTTGGTAATAAATCACCATTAGGGGAAGAATAGTACTGAGTGAGAGCACATCAGCGGTCCTTGAAGGATAGGCCTACACCACACCTCAAAAGGAAAAGATGGGGTCTAGCTTGGTGTTGCCAGGTCAGATTTTTTATGATTTATTTTGGTTGGATAGGAAATTGGCATTGGATTGATATTGTGCCTGGAAACACAGACTGTGTCCAATGGATCAGTCTGAGAATCTGGGCTGTCCTGTCTATTCCCAGAAATCGAAACTCTATCTCCACATAAAAAACATAATCATTTGAAACTAGATATTGGCTTAAAAAGGAATGTTTTCCTGAGGATTTAAAATAATTTGTGACAGATGATTTAAAAAGATAAATAATATCATGGATACATAGAAAATATACACTCACAAATGCATTTGGCTCAGCATTTGGACTGTGAACCACCACTGGGTACCGAAACAGCACCAGTTCCCAATCACAACACAGATTTTGGTGCCTTATTCCTGTGCCAGACTGTGTGTGTAGCGAGTGCGCACAGCAATGGAGATTAGCCCCGAAGTTAGCTGGCGCAGTTAGCCTTCCTTAAGTCTCAGCCACTACGAAAAAGATAAGAGAAATGTCTCTCCTGAGTTAGGGAGATAATCACTGATCTCAACTCAAAACTTATTTTGCTGTTATCTGTATTGTAACTGCTACTGAGTGTTAAATTATTGTATTTGGGTTTTATTTATTATGTGAATTAGTGATCTATGTAATTAAGTATACCTTAAACTGTTAGGAGTTCATATATTGGTCAATTTCACATTCAAATTTGCAATCCAAAAAGGTCGTCCTTTAGAAACAATTTAGGCACCATTTTAAAAGTATTGTTTTAGCACCATTATTGGAGAGAACCTAAATGATACCCAACCCTAGTGACAAGTGGCCTTAGTTCACATAACCCAAGCATTCTTATGTTATGTTATTATTTGGACTTATCCTGGGACTTAATGAATCTACTTTTTATGTGTACAGTCATGAGAAGAAAGTTTTAGAGTTCTGGTGAGCTCTGAGATCAGTCAGAGTCTGTCACTCTCACTCCACACTGGCTGGTGCTTATGTTGGTAGCTTACAGCATACACCTGTTGATACATTAATTGTTTGGGGGAAAAAAAAAAGCACAAACAGCCCAGCAATCAAATGCGAGCAAATAAAACAAGACAAAACAGGTTTACTTTCTTAAATTTAAGTGTGTATTTCAGAGATACTGTCCTCTACAGAGGGAAGCTGTTGATCAGCTCAAATCTCAGTCGACTGCAGACAAAAGCACGCTGCCTCTCTCCCAGCAGTACACAAGGGCCTGAATTATAAATCTTGGTAAAAGGGATGGCGCGTTCCTTATCATCCAAGAGAGGAGGCATTCTCTCCATCTTCACGTTGTCTGCTTCAATGATGAATGGCAAAATTCAAAACACATCTGACAGAATCCTTGCTGACAACCACCAGGAAACTTTCGCTACGCTTTGCGTGTTTGCGGGCACGCGCATATATTCATGTGACAACTCTACATAACAATCCCCCCCCACACACACACTTATTTTTGGCTCTGTGAGAAAGCAGATACCACTGTAGCAATGCATGAAGTGGTTTCTATAATGGTGCACGTCTGGATGACTCAGTGTTGAGCATGGCAGTAACAGAGGTGAATTACAATTAAACTGTTTGACCGGTAAAATTCCTGCAATATTTCACAACCATCAAACTTCACATCCAAAATGCAAAAGTTACCACCACAAATGTTTTAAAATAATGTTTCCTAGTTTAACAGTTCCCCTCTTGTGTCTCACCATCCTTTTGGAAATTAAAAACAGGAGACAGTGCACTGTAGCTGCAGCAATTTAGGGAATGGAAAAACATTTTAAAACCATACATCTACAGACACACATAAGACATCACTGCTGATAATCCAATCTTTAAAAACGATCAGTGACACCCATGTGAAAGAAGTTCACAAGCATGTGTCTGAGTGAGTCCTTGCGTGTGTCAGTCTGTGTGCTGTGTATGTAAAAATGCTGCCTAGTTATGGTATCTGTAGTCAATCACACCATCAGTAAGGCTTTCTCACTACCCTACAAGTGAGCTATCAGACCACAATTCCCACAATTCACCAATGCTTTCTCACCGGCTAACATTAGCACAGTAGTGTGAGCTGAGAACATGCTGAGAAGTGATCCGTCAAATTCAGTGTGGCCAGCTGTGGTTGAAAAGCCGAGTGATGAAATGTCATTTTGATGATTGAGAGTGGTAGCAAGAGGCCTTGCAAAAAACTAACCGACGACAAAGTGTGCAAGTCCAAGTCACAACTTCTCACCACTCATAGCCAGGTCTTACAGATACAGATTTACCTGAAGTTATGGCTGCAAACAAGTGGTTGTCCTTTACTGCTCTTGTACCTAAATCATGATTTCATCATTTAATACTCAACAATATTTGTCTTTAAATATGTTTAAAGTTGTTTCATTTTTTTGCCAGCCCAGTCAACAACATTGGATGTTTCTGCAAACCACAGATACGTGACATTTGTACGCTTAATATATATATGACATAGTTGAGATTACATGTATGTCTCTCTTCGGGGGGGGGAGGGGCTGTGTAACACCTAGGAGAGATGGCTGCCGAGCAGCAGACAGCTGGCAGACCACCGTTCAAGACCAACATATGAGAGTTCAGGACATTTCCAGCCATGTTTGTAACAGCAAACTGGGTATTTCAAGCCAAAACATGTTTTCCTGACCCTACCAAGTGGTTTATGTGTTTTAACCTAAGCTAAAGCCTCAGCACAACATAAAATTGAAAACTGCAACTTAAAGAAATGTAAAGTATCAAAATATCATATTAAACAACTAAACTATAAATAAATGTACAAATGCTACATGTCCATGGTTTCTGGAGATGTACAATACCAACATTCATTCTGATTATTGGATTGCTTTCACTTATTAGTGCATTTATTACTTTTGTCATATTGTACATTAAACATCATGAATTCTACATGTTATGGAAAATAATCCTTTGAAGGAATCAAATTTCACAAGATTTATGTCAGTGCTACAGAATAGATATAATGTGCTACAAAAAATCCAACCACCCTCTTTGACACATACTAAAAATAGGAATGCAGCCCCACTAGCTAGACCTGCAGGTTTTATATGACGGGAGAAGTTCACTCTGTCATTAGGGCTGCCACTAACGATTATTTTCATTGTCGACTAATCTGTTGATTATTTTTTTGATTAGTTGACCAATCATTTAATTGAAAAATGTGTTAAAATGTTGAAAAATGTCGGTCTGTCTCACCCAAACCCCAAAATTATGTCATCTAATGTCTTGTTTCATACTCACGTCGAAGGGTTTTAGTTCACTGCCACGGGAGAGTGTGTAAAGCTGCCAATATCTGAACGTAAGAAGCTGCAGTAAGAGTATTTCGAGGTACTTTTATAGTACTTTTCTATGAAAAACGACTCAAACCGATTAGTCAACTACTAAAATAGTCACCGATTATTTTAATAGTCGATTAGTCATCGCTTAGTCGACTAATCGTGGCAGCCCTATCTGTCATCTTCAAATATATGATCAAATTTAGCTGAAATCTTGACAATGTGTTAAGGAAGAAACATTTTATATATATTTTACATAAATAAGCATGGCAGACTTTCAAGGTATGAGGCCAGAACTTTGTATGTGTGTGTCGGTTCTTCAGCTTGTGTGTTCCCAAATCGGTATGTGAGGATTTGAAAGCAGTACAGTATATCTTACCATGCATGCAGTCATTATCAGAAAATTAAGAGGTATTTAGAGTGTATCTAGTTTTATGGGGATAAAGTGAACAGGGAAATGGTTTGTCATTTGTGCTAATCCTGCTGGATGAAAAATGTAATGGCACCACGATCTCTCTGTATCACCATTATATTTTGTGACACAATAATTCAGTGAAACAAAGACAACCATAACAATCCGTTCCATTTGCCAAATGCCAAAGTAAGACTGTGCTAAGTAAGAACAACTCCCTTTCCAGGCGATCAGTTTTCCAGAAAATGCTGTGGGTGCAGCTGAGAATGCCGCTCTGGAGCGGAGCATTCCCATGAAGACGGGAATGTTTATTTTGCAGCGGATTTAAGCTGACATGTGTGAAGCCATTAAGCAGGCTTAGTCTGTTAATTAAAGCCATTCTAATATTCTACCTTTAGCCTCATTAGAGTGAGACCTCTATGTTGAGAACTGAGCAGGCTACAGTATGTGACAAGCCGAAGCTCGCAAATTCATTCACGAACACATGTGACACACTTACATACACACTGAAGGTCAAATGTGGTTATGGTCATTGCATGAGAAGAAGGTATCTATTTCAGTGAGCCTCTTTTATTGTGTGCACACTTGAACAGGCACACCAGCCAGCACCAATGACATACTCTAGCATACAACAGTTTTTATCAGGTTTTGAAGATAACTGTATCTCTTTAAAAGATTCCTTTTTTTTCAAACAGAATAAAAATTGCAAGGGATTCAAAAGTTCTTCTAGAAGTGTATATTTTGCAAGTTGGAAATGCCTGACAGAGC